TCAGAACTTACCATACCTGGTTCTGAGTACCTGTCATTGCTTCATGGTGTGGCGAGAGAGGATGGGATGTTGGATAGAGGCAGGAAGGGTGTGCTTTGAAGGAATGTAAGGGATAGTTCTAATTTTTTTCCTTTTTGTAAAAATATACCTTCACAGATCATGCCTGGGATGCATAGTTCATTAAACGTTTTTTTTTTTATTATTATCAGAACAGTGGAATAACTTTGTCATTTTCAAGAAACTCTCTTAGATATCAGGAAGACAGACTTTTTAGACAAATTTATATAGTTGTATATCTTTATAGGAGGCTAGATCCAAAGTAGTATAAATACCTGAGTATATGAGTCTCAGAATACTTTCATAATCTTTGTTGTAGGAGGATATTACTTTGGTTATGTTATCAGTTCCTGGCAATAATTTTTTTTATTTTTTTTTAATTGAAATTGTACTTCTATAATTTCATGCAAAGATTTAAAACATTATGAACTAACTGTAAGGAATTCTTAATTAACAAACATTATTATTCTATTTCATAGTATGAAATGTAATTTTCTTTGTTCAAGTACATTAATATTCCTTTTCCAGTTTTAATTATATCTTGAATTAGTTATGTAATGGAAAGAAGTATTTTGAAAGTAATTACATAAATGTATTTTATCAACAGTATTCATTATTTATATTAATCCTCTCATCAATTCTGGGAGACTGTTAATCATAATAGATGAAAAGCCAGTGTTCAAGACTTTTCTTTTCTGTTTAACAGCTTCTTTTGTAGTATTAATAATTATAAAGCCTCCTTTTTTATATTTGAATGACTGTTTATGTTGCAGTGCATGACAAAATTAATGCTAGGGTTCGTGAGTCTGTGTAAGACAGCTCAGTTTCTCATTTCAAAAGGGAATGTAGGTAAAATTACCACAGTATAACACATCATAATTATATTTATGACTCTCTCTTAGTTACTTCAAGTGTATATGTGATTAATATATTATAAATTTGAAACTTGTGAGTGTGTGATACAAGAAAATATTATGCAGATTTTCACACTTATATTCAATTATTATTGTATTTCATAATATGAAATGTGATTTTCTTTGTTTGTTCAAGTACATTAATATTCCTTTTCCAGTTTTAACTATATCTTGAATTAGTTATGTAATGGTAAGAAGTATTTTGAAAGCAATTACATAAATGTATTTTATCAACAGTATTCATTATTTATATTAATCCTCTCATCAATTCTGGGAGACTGTTAGTCATAATAGATGAAAAGCCAGTGTTCAAGACTTTTCTTTTCTGTTTAACAGCTTCTTTTGTAGTATTACTAATTATAAAGCCTCCTTTTTTATATTTGAATGACTGTTTATGATGCAGTGCATGACAAAATTAATGCTAGGGTTCGTGAGTCTGTGTAAGACAGCTCAGTTTCTCATTTCAAAAGGGAATGTAGGTAAAATTACCACAGTATAACACATCATAATTATATTTATGACTCTCTCTTAGTTACTTCAAGTGTATATGTGATTAATATATTATAAATTTGAAACTTGTGAGTGTGTGATACAAGAAAATATTATGCAGATATTCACACTTATATTTAACAGGGAGATGAGATATATGAAATGTATTGATTATAATATTAAAAGAAAAAGCTTAATATATGTATAAATATTTTTTTTTACTTTAATCATGCATTATCATTTTATAACAAAACTGAATTGCTCTTTTAACATTTATGTTCACCAAATTATACAATCAGTTCTTTTTTAAAGGAGGAACATGAATTTTAATACGTTTAGTTACAGTACATATTTAAACTGACTGAAAAGTAAAAATACTAAACCACATTTATATTCTCTGTTTGTAGTGATATTTTGTTAGTTTGTTTGTGCATATGCATATGTGTTTTGATGCATGTATTGTAAGTAAATGTGTATGTATGTTTGAGTGTGATGTATGTTAGTGTGCCTCAGGATATAATTGCATGTGTGTGAAATGTGTGGACATGGATGTGCATGTCTTCATACGTTTCTGTGCATGTTTACAAATGTGTACGTATGTGCATATTTATGAATGCGTGTATGTACCCTAGAAGGCAAAAAATTATGGTGTTCAATACCTTATATTACACACATATATTTTCCTTACATTCACTAAAAAACTCATAAGTACTTGATTTATACAAATATCATGAAATACTACTCTTTAAGAGGTATGCTACTTGATTACTTATGAATCAAATGTATTGTGTATGGCTTTCTGCTTTCTCTACAGAAGTTTATTTATGTCTGTTATTTGATGTATACTGTGATATATTCTGGAAAATAAGCTCTGCATATCCTAAAATGGCCAACTTGCTGTTTTTCAAGTTAGCTATGTTTGTAATTTAGCAAGCAACCTAACAGAGGATTTCTCCCTTCAGGTTATTCTAAATAAACTACAAAATTATCTGTCATTATTATTCATCGCTGCTCTTCAGCACAATGTTCAACAAGGAGAGTAAGTTCTGTTATGGACTTAAAGCATTAACGATTATTTACAAGACCGTCTAGTCTGCTTGAAGAAAGGTATCTTGTTAAGGATTGCTTGCCAATATAATCCAGCAGTTATGGAAGCCCTTATATTATGAGATGGATAGGTCATATAATGAACACATCATAACTTTTATTGTGATTCATTTCATTATAACAATATTACTTTTACAAACAGTTGTAGTTTGCTACCTAAACATATGAGAGCACTATATGGAAGGTTATAGAAGTGACTTTCTCATCGTCACCAGTCAAAAGGCAGGGAGGAGGCATGGTGAGGTGAACAGCAATATTTGGGCATGTGGGGAGGTGAAGAGAACAGCAAAAGTGTTTTGTGTATATATATGTGAGATGTGTAAGGCAGAGTGGCTATTTACCTTGTGAAGAAGTAGTAGTATTGGAATATTTGGATGATTCAATCTTATTTTTATTTTATTATCTTTTTTTTCCTTCATACAAATCAATATATCAGCTGTAAATGATATTGGCAAGGTGAGCTTATGAATATATAACTTTTGAAAAAATTATGTACATAACAAATATATAATATGACCATTATTGTAAAGAGAAGAGAACAAAGAGAAGTTGAAAATATAAGGCAATCACAAATGCAATGTTACCATTAACAATGAAACAAAGAAATGCATGATTACCAGTATCATTAGTATAGACCATGGTGGAGAAATAATACACAGATGTATGAGTTTCCATGTTTGGAAAATCCCAGTTGGAGAGTCATTGAGTCTATCAGAGTTTTGCAGGAGGCAGAAGTGATGATGGAAGAATCAGATTTTTTTTTTTGTTTTTTTGTTGTTGTTTTTTTTATGTTTTTTTTTTTTCAAAGGAGGGAGGAACAGCTGAGAGATTCACTGGAGAGTTTCAACACAGAGGACATCGACATGGAAAGAAATAACACGGAAGAATACCGACATGTGGGAGTCTCACCACATAACTACAACAGGGTGAGTGAGGGACAGAAGAAGCCACACATGAGTGGTTCCTACGGGTTATCACAGAAATATGATTGTGCTAAAAAGCAAAGGGTCACTCGAGGCGAAGACAGCCCTGTGTAACTTTTCGTTATCAGTTTTCTTGCAAACTCCTTACTGCATTGTTATTGTTCATGCAATGTATTTTCAGTTTCCCGTTTCCAGAATCCGTCATATTTCTGCCCTTCTTAAAACCGCAGTTTACAGCACTGTCTTATTTTCACTGCAACACTAGCAATGAGTAACCCAGCTTACACCAACACTGTTTCAGCCCGTCTACAGATATACTAGGCGATATGTAGCTATCTATCACATGCATAGGTAAGGTTTTACAGTTTTCTGGAGCACGTCCATATGTGGCCCATTTCCTAAGAGCTGAAAAGTCTTGTTTTGTAATATTAGTGTCTTGTTTTACTGCACAGGTAACATAGTGACCTAAAATATGAACACTGGAAATCATTATGAGGAAATGATCGGATAACAAGAAATTCATAAGATATTCTAAGAGGACATTACCACTGATATTATGTTTTTATGTTCTACTGTAACTACCATTTGATTGTTAGGTGTGGTATCTAAAAGGTGCACAGTAGCAGACATTAGGCATTATTGCCGAGAAGTTGTACAAAATGTGGTCCGTGGTAGGTACCTTACATACTATATAAACCATGTTTTTTTGTTTTTTTTCCTTTTTGTTCTTATACGAAATTGCAAAATTTTACCATTGGGCTAGGATCCATCCATTACATTCTTTTGAGTACCAGGAACTCATATACAGTGTGTGAATAAAACTTCTCCAAATGTAAGCATGAATTCTAGCCCTAATTTTGAATAATAAGTAGTCTTAAAAGCACAAATTACAGAGAGGTTACAGCACCGTGATACACTACAGTGACATTAAGATTCTTTACATGCCCCAAAGTCTTCTGTTTTATGTGTGGGTCTTGTGTTCCTCTCTGCAAAAGGATTTCATTGTTGTAAAGAAAACTTTTTTTTTTTTTTTTCTTCAGCATATCATGTTCATCCCTTATAAAGAAAAAATTGTGAGCCTCATGGAAAGATATAATTACCGAAGCACAGGAAATCTCATTGCTACAAGTATGAAAATTGTTTAGGATTATTTATTTGAAACAGATCAAATTTTCTCCTTTTTTTTTTTCTTTAATCAAAGTTAGACAAGATTACTCTGAAATTATTAAATTCCCACTGCTCAATAATTTTTTTTGTTCACAATCTCTAAAGTCCCTTTTTTTTATCTCCTTGTGTGCCAGTAATGTATAATATTATAATTTTCAATGAAAAACTATTGCTTAACTTAGTAATAGCTCAAATATGACCTGAAATGGTAATTACATAACATAACATCCCTGTAATGATGCACTGTATAGTCATTATTAACAGTATCAAAGGCAGGAAAAGGAAAAATAGTTAACATTGAAATATTTTTCATGGTTTAATAATGGCATATGCATTGTGAAGACAAATCAGTATTATGTTCAACATCAATGTCAAATTCATATCTCATATTCCTCAAAAGTGAAATTCCTGAAGATTCTACTTGCTCCTAACATGAAGTTATGAGAGATGACTCAATGATGAGTGATGGTGACCTGAGACCTGAGATGAATCTCCTTATTTACAATGTTGAATCCTATGGTACGAGGTCTAGCACTGAGCAAGACTGGCGAGTGTCTTGATACAACACACTACTCAGCCATGTGCACCACCTTGCCTGCTCCCCTACAGTAAAGGTGGTGTGCTCGTCTCTACGTCATTATAATACAATCATAATTTTACCAGGTTCTGGAGTTTTCCACACCATCTTAAAATATATATATATATATATATATATATATATATATATATATATATATATATATATATATACTTATATATATATTCACATATATATACATATACACGCACACAGACACACATACAGTACATACATACTTCTTCAAGAATACTGGGAGGCTGAAGTAGTAGTTCAATAAAGTTTATTTTGCCAATAAGACAAATGGTAAATCAACCTTATTCAATCACTACGTAAGAACTGTTAAGATCCTTTCTTATTCAAATATACTTCCAATCTACCAGATTATGAAGATACAAGGGAAATTATGATTGCAGTATAATAATTTAACTACTGTAATCTACATAATGGTAAATGATATGAGCTTTACAACTAAACTGTATATGAAGTAACAACTTATTCATTTCAGTATTAACATCACTGGCTGTCTTATATTGAGAATTGGGTGGACTACAGCTGTTGGCTTGCAGGTAGATGTAAGTAATATTTATAATGAGGGCTAATCAATTAATTCACAAAATTATATGCTTCTCCTCAGAACAAGGTAAAAAGAATGCTACTCTAGTAAAGTGACAATGTTATATTTCATGTGCAATGGGATATAAAATACACTTGTTAAAAATATCCATTGTCAGTTTTTGAATTGCTTAGAGACACAAATGTAGAATGTGCTAGGATGAACATGGTGCTGCTGGGTATTGCAAACGTGACATTGCACACAAAAAGGTCTGTGATAACTGATACCCGGTGAATGCTTTACACGCAGTGCATCATGGCTGAGTTTAAAATCTAGGATAATAAGTTATCTTAAAAGAAACTTATTACAGAAACTTACCTCTGTTGCAGAAGAACATCCCTATTTGTGAAAAAGGACAATAAATAAACATGTAAGTGGGCTAAAAACTGTACCATGGATACAAAGACTGTTTTTCTTTCTTAAACAAGTCTGAGGAATAGTTCTGCAACAAATAAAGTTTCATGTCATAAGCTGCCTTGTTTCTTTGAAGAATATCCTATTACGTCCCCTTGCATGGGCAAACAACAACTCAGAAAGTGTGGTATAACAAGAACATCAAAGATACATCAACATGATAACTTGGCAGTCACCTAACACTGTACAAATAGATTACAATTTGCCAATTATGCTCTGAAAAGTAAAACTATATACAATATAATACATTTATATTAAGTACATTAGGATTAATTTCTAGGTTGAGGTGATCCTTGAAAAGCTGGTGCAGTTATTTGGCACGTTTTGTCTAGTACAGGAACCTAAATGTTGGCTAAATGAGAGTATGTCTGTCAAGTTTCATGGGGTGAGTTTCTATCGGAATAAACACCTTAAACAAGAAGAGTTTATTTGAAGAAGTAAGTCGTAAATATCTGGTCGGTAAAACGGAAAGAGAAAACGAGAGAAAAAAAAGAAAATCTTTTCTGATCTTACTGGCCATGAAACTTGACTTTCAAGAAAGGTTTGTTTTTTTTATTTTATTTTTTTTTTCTCTTTAGTCTAATGCTTGAACAAAATCTTTGGCACCCTACAGCAAAGCTAACAAACTGGCAAATAACTCTACTTGCATATCGTTTCGCGATGGTTCCATGCTCATGTGCAGGGATAACGATAGGCTATAATGCCATAAAAATATTGATTATGTGACCTTAAGACCTTGAAAAAGAGATGCAGCTATAACAGGGGAATTTTGTATTACAGTAACAAAAACAAAATCTCTAACTTGAACTACACTGAGAGATTATATTATATATGTAGACTTACATTGTCCTCTTTTTCAAGACCATCATGAAATCTATAGAACTTTATTTAGTTTCCTATATGAAAACCTATTGTTGTATATGCACATTATAGTGAGTCTATGGTATTTGCAAGAGAAAAAAGCAAATTGCATATGATGTTCTTTATAACAGGAAATGAAATAATCCACAGGTGAAAATACTTTTTATATACAACAACAATGGCACATGTCATTGTAAACTAGCAATAATATCAATAAAAAATCCTTGTTATCTTTGCAGTTATACACCATTAAACTGGTCTTAAAAAAATTCATATCTAATTGGGACAAGTGCCAATGATAAACATGACAAAGACTCCAGGAACGTATGGAAATACTAAGTTGTAACAGTCAGAGCAACCAAAGTGCTCCTTCTCTTCTCCTTTGGGTACTCGTAGCGCATAAAGCCTCACAGTTGGGCTTTGAGGAATAGACTGGGCTAAGGCCAGCCAGGCAGGAGTGACCGGGCAGCATGTGGGTCAGACTCGCTCAGGTGAGACGAGCAGAACCCAAGCAACTGTTGGCCATCAGCTTTCAACTGAAGGCTATCAACCATCAGTAATGAGCCAACAGCACTCATTCAGAAGCTGTTAGCTTACAGCTGGGGAGGGTGGGCACCGGTTACAGTGAGGGAGGGCATCAAGGTGGGCCCGAAGAAGGCTTGCGTCAGCTGGCCTCTGTGTTCAGGGCTTCTGTGGACCCTTGGGTGGCGCGAGGAGACTCCCGATCAGCAACGCGGTGTATCTGCACAGACACGAGTGATGGATATGATGCTCCTGAGTTGGCGGAAGTGGCAGAGGCTCTGGAGGCGCGGCGTGAGATGGGGAAGAAGAAGAGAGACCCGCGGGGAGACGTCTCGTTCACAGAAGAGCGGGAAGCACGGCGTGAGCTAGGCCTAGATCTTTCCCCATCCACCTGTGGACACTTCGTCTTCTCAGAGTGATTTTAGGGAGTATGAACAATTTCTTGAGAAGACTATCATGATGCAATAGTAATACCAAATGAGAGAGAGAGAGAGAAAGAGAGAAAGAGAGAGAGAGAGAGAGAGAGAGAGAGAGAGAGAGAGAGAGAGAGAGAAAGAGAGAGAGAAAGAGAGAGAGAGAGTTAGAGAGAGAAATATCTTACCTGGAGGACGGTGACAGACCTTCGGCGAGGCATACTCATGGGCATTGGTACCGCTGCTAATAGGGTTGATACCCTCTTGAAACCAGAGCGTATAGACGACCCTCCCGGAGAGGAGGTTTGTGTTTGTGCCTCCTCTAGGAGTAAATTCTTCTTTTCCAACTCTCGCCGATGCCTGTGAAGAAAGCAGGGGGTCACGTGTTGCCAACTCGTGTGCTTTCATCGTTACAATTATGTGTTTGGTTTGCATGACCTTATATTCCATAAATATTTTCTATATCTACATTGAAATTCATACAATTTGGGGAGAATTAAATTATTTCATTCTGATTTATAACACTATCACAGTAACCGAAAAAGTGATTGTGAAGTGTGTGCTATACAAAACATGAACTTATTTCATTGACTTGTTTGTTGCATATACAAAAGTACAACATTCAGATATCTCGTGGTTCACTTAAAAGTGCAGTGTTTCTATAGACTATCTGAAAACACCTGTTAGTGTTAGAATATCAACAAAGTACACCAAATACGCATATGCTACAAAAGAACTAAGAATCACCTATGCATTTCATTCTCCTGTGAGTTAGGTTACTGGATGTATTAACATAAATACAAAATAACTTCCCCAATGAAATTCTATTAGTATATAGTAGTTTAAAAGGTTGTCTGCCTATTCAACTGCAGAAACAAGGAAGCTAAAGCTGAAGCGCGAGTCGTCACCTCAAGAATTCACTCTCGGCAAATTTGTGTTTAAGAATGGGATAACAGCATACCTTGGAGCTTCCTGATCTAGGCAGAAACTTTCTGTTTTATAACCAGAACAGTTCTCCTTGTTTAAAAAACCATACAATAGTCTTATATCATGCACTTTGAGGGAGATTTTTTTTTTTTTTTTTTGTAAATACTAAGTAGATTTATGCAAATAAATATTTTTCTGTTTTAACAAAATCATAAAAGCTATTGAGAAGTATATCATATAGGATTAGAATTTTATGCAATGTATTTTCTGGGGTTTATTTAGCTATCACTTATATCAGAAAAGGGTTGTGGAAATCTACAATGAAATATAATTAGTAGCTTAGCTTGCACAAAGTCCTATATTTGTGTGTTACTATTAAAAAAAAAAAAAAATCAAATAATTGTTATTGTTTATGATCTAAAGCATCAGAACAGACATTAGTGTTATGGCTAATTTTCAGCCAGTGATTTAAATTGATTGGGTCCATTTAGAGGGGTCAGATGTTCACTAATGAGATCTCATGACACCCCAAAGCCATAGCAAATTATACGTCAATGAACCAATGACTCCATGACCCGACACCCCATCTTCAGCCTCTAATTGGAGCCCAAAAGGAGAAACTCAACCATGAGCTGCCAAAAAATATATATATATATGGATACGGTATGGTGGCCAAAAAAAAAAACAGCAAGTAGTCAACATTCACAAGTTTACGCTACTGTGGGAAGGCAGAGTTATTCCAGGCTCTGGAGCTGCATCTCGTTCGCCTCCTTGGTCTTTCCCTGAGAAGGGTTTCCTGTTGCTTCTAGTCTCGCTCTTTTTGCTCTGTAAGGTCATGGCGTGCGGCTGACAGACAGGTTCACAGGAGGATTCCCTTTCTTCATTCTTTTTTTTTTTTTAATTAGTCTTTTCAATCTTTCTTTTGAATTTGTGATTATACTCAGAACTAACTCTAGCTTGCAATGCTTGCAGACTTAATCCAGTTATTTATAAAATTCCTTTGGTTAAACTCATGATTTTAAAAATTTGAGTTGAAATGAGATTTGAAAGGTAATAATTAGCATTTTCAGTAGTTTTTACGAAAGTAATTCAATCAAAGTTTTAGGTTAATGAAAATATCTGCATAATGGCCTCCTAAATGAACCTATACAACCTCACATTCAAAACATTCAAGTGAAGTGAATGTTATGGGATTTTTTTTCTTAATGCTTTTGCAGTTATTGAATTGGTGATTTCACAACCAGGTATTTTTCTGGCATTTTAATTAAAATATATTCATGTGTGCGTGTGTGTGTGTGTGTGTGTGTGTGTGTGTGTGTGTGTGTGTGTGTGTGTGTGTGTGTGTGTGTGTGTGTGTGTGTGTGTGTATGTATGTATGTATGTATGTATGTGTGTGTGTGTGTGTATGTGTATGTATGTATGTATGTATGTGTGTGTATGTATGCATGTATGTATGTGTCTGTGACAAATTCACAAAACAATTTTGGTGGAATTCTATTATCTTAAAGAGCTGAAACAGAAGGCATAAGAACCAATTAAACATAAAAACATGGGAGGATTAATTTTGATTAGCATATGATAAATTTCATCTTAATTAAAATTACGAGTGAAACTTCTCAATTTAAAAAAGTCTGAAATAAAACCTTTGTGAAATGATATCATACTTATGTACTGACTATGGACTGAATTATTAATTCCTTGTTATTAGCGTTAGTTATTTAGTTATTTTTTTTATTATTTACATGCCCATTCTCTCAATACACTTTTACATAATTATATTTTAATGTAAACAATTCTTTATTTTTCTTTTTGCATTTTGATATTTTTTCTTGTTCACTAATGTCACTTTAACCTCATTTATTTTACTGTTCTGTTCAAAATCCACCTTTTTTCTTCTTTTGCAGATTTTTACATTTCATCCTGCTGTTATCTGATTTTTCCTTCATTAAGCCATAAGCTCTTATATACAAAAAGATACTTTGTCCTTTCCCCTTTCTTTTGTTCTAAATGACAACTTACTTCCTTCTTTTCTTGTATTTCCCTTCTCAATTCACCCTTTATAATCCTGCTCTTGGTCCTTTGCCCATCTACTTTGTAATATTTTCTCATTCAGTCTATTCTACCATTCAACCAAACCGCAAGCCATCCCACCCAAGACTTCTTATTCACTTTAATGTTTTTTTTTTTCTCTCTTTTTTTCAATATTTTCTTGGTTCATCTCTGTTGATAATTGATTCCCGTCAGTTATTTATGGTTTCTCTTTTGATTTCTTGTTCTTTTAAAGTTATTTCCCCTTCCTTTGTTATTTTTTTTTATCTTGCAATGTACTGCAATGATGTTGTAATCAAGTAAAAATTAATCGGGTCTGTCAAAGAACCTCCGTAACACAAATATATGACACTAAAATTGCATTTAAAGAGAAACACATTTCCTAAGATTTAGGTTAGAGATTTGGGTAATTCTGCAACTGAATAATACTTTTCTTCAGAGATATATTCATATTTCATCAAGAAAGAAGGATTACAAGAAGAAAAAGAAGAAGATGAAGAAGAAAAAAGGAAATACCACACATCTTTTGAATGAAACAAACTGCCCATAGATATATAACTTCCACCCTATCTTGCTTCATTGGATTCACAAGTGGCCATACCTAAAGCCCATCTCTGGAAAAAGAAATACCGAGGCTCAAAGACCCCCCAAAAGCTCATCAGAAACTTACTTGAGGAAGGCTCGCCAGGCCATCTGGATGGTCTTAGCAGCTGAGTCCATCTTCTTCCAGCGACGCGTGGAGGATACGATCTCAAGCTCCTTGCGTGTTGGGAACTGCTTCTTGAACTTCTCTTCCATCTGCATCTTGAGCTGAGGGGGGAACTAGGGAACTGTGAGCGTTAGTCGGTGGTAAGGCTCGCCCGAAGGTGCAGAGTGCAGACACTGCAGGCGGCTGTGCAGGTGAGAGTAAAGGGTGGGGGGGCGCGGACGCTTCCACACGCACATACGGAGGAATCAAGGACATAACAGGACACGCGAATGTTCTCAAAGGCAAATCGAGGACTGGAGGCTAGGCAAAGGTGATTTGTTCAACTCAAATATATGAATTTTTAGGGTGTGATAAAGTTGTACCCTATTCTTTTTCAGTGTTACTATTTCCAGAATCGGTACTCTTGAAAGATTTTGCCTTTACATGCTGTGACATTTCTACTGTTTGTGGTACTTAGTAGTGTAAATGTGAGGCACAGTTTCATATCTCAGTTTGACAGAGGTAATATAAAGTTCCTCTAGCTTTATCTGCTAGTATTTATTATCCAGTCTCTCGGTGAGCTCTATTATTTTATTTTCCCAAGGAATGACATTAGGGAACCATATGCAGATGTAGCTGAACAAAACAAATGTAAGAGAAGATTACACGATTCTCATTTTGCTTTGAACAAACCACTCATGGCATATATGCATCTGGGGCAGTTTCCATAACATATATGCAAGCACAAACATTTTCCTTGTGCAGGCAGAGGAAAAAGAGCAAGGGAAAAGAGAATCATTTATCAATATATGCCTAGTCAAACCTTGGGAAAGCAACAATGATGATTTAGTTGTATAGCAACAAAATATTCTTGCCATGATTCCTGATAGACTAAAAGAATGTGCTTTGTGTCTTCCATCAGCAACATTCTGCCTTGACAACTTTCTCTTTCGGTATATCAGCTACATCCAACAATCATACCACAACAACAACAATCACAACAACAACAAACAACAACAGTAAGAACATTAACAACAACAGTGAGAACAACCAACAGCACACAACAAGCCATAGCACATGAAGTCTGACACTCTCCCTCGTGTGGGTCTACAATGCCATATGTTTAGTGTGTGAATAACAAGGCACTGCATGCTGTTCTTGGTCTAGCATGTCTTCTAAAGGCTCGTATCCATTTGCTCTACTTATACGCAGGATGCAAACGCGCCCACATGGAAAAAAAGCACACTGATAAGCTGCGTGTATGTATAGCATGGTGTGTACATATACTACAGGTGCCATAAGCATTGCACAAAAGCCATATATATATAACACATATATAGTATACATATACATAAATACATATATATACATATACCTATATATATTATATAATCAAATATATATACATCTTACAACATTAACTATATATATAACATTGGGTAGGGGGGGTTTGGTTTGGGTTTAAGCCTGCAGTGTTGCTTTTAATATTTAAAAGGTTGCATTTAAGTATACTTGTCACAAACCTGTATTGGAGACAATCTGTAATATATCCAATTGTCTTTGGAACTTTAATAACCATGAATAAATCCACTGTTATCTTCATGTATTAAAAAGGGGGATGGGAGAATTTACAAAAGGTAAAGGATGAAAGGAATCTTACAGCACAAAACTGTACTTTATACTTTCAAAAATTTATGTATGTCATTTGCTTCAAAAGAAAACGGTCTTGTTTGATTGTTTGTTTCCTTCTTTTCTTATGAAGTCATAGCACTGAACTATTGCGGCAAATGAGGCTCGAGAAATCAATCAGGCATGAAAAATTCAGCAATAAATATTAATGGTGGAGTTTGAAAAAAAATTATGGGGTTACAAAGATATCAAAATGATTTAATAGAAAAAAAGAAAGAAAGAAAGAAAGAAAGAAAAACTAAAAAACTCAATGAGTAATTCTGGTACTCTATTTTTGGAATCTGGCTGAGGCTCTGATACTACTCTTAACTCTATCAATGATATGAAAATAGTGCAGAGAAAAGAATGATTAAGAGAAGCCAATTAAATTTAAAAAAAGAAAGAAAAAGAAAACGAAAAAGAAAAAAAAAACTTTTTTCAAACCCACTAAAGAGTTGCAACAATCATCCATCATTAAAGATAATATAAAACATCCTTGATGTGATTTTCCAGCAGCCACATTCCAGATGATGCAAGAAATTGTAAAAGAAGCAGAGGGCTTGGGGGAGGTTGTAGTAAAAGCCAGGGTACAAGAAGTCTGTGGCCGGCATTAGCAGCTCGATTTACGGAAAGTATAAGCCAGGGTACAAGAAGTCTGTGGCCGGCATTAGCAGCTCGATTTACGGAAAAGAAGAAGACTAAGAAAAAAAAAAAGGAAAAAAATTGAAAAATCAAAAATGTTCTTGTTAGGAAATCCCCTCACGCCAACTAAACTGTCGAAAGAGGATTTGCAACAAGAACCGAGTCTCCATTTTTCGGTGAATCAAGCTGAAAGCAGGCCACAGAAGCTACCATGACGAGGGAAAGGGAAAGCCAAGAATGGGTAAATATGAGCTCAGGAGAGCGCTGTGTAATGAGGCAGGAAACGCTCATCCAGAAGGACAGTAAAGGAAATAAGCAAAGAAGATGAAAGTGTAGCTGTCTCTATATGCACATCATAAGAAACCATTAAATGTACATCATAATGTTTAATCACGACAAAAATGACATCTAACTCAATATCAGCCACTCTTGTTGAGTAGAACCAGTAAGAGAGATTACTATGAGGTTTTTCATCTCTTAAGTAAATACTTTGTTTACTTTCTACTTTGCATATTCATACACCTGCAGTAAAGCAGGATTTAATTCTTTATATTGTGACATTTCTTCTTCTAGAATCTCCATACTGATCACTCATTAAACACATCTGACTCCTACCACACAACACCACCAAATGTACACAGTTCAACTTTTCCTAAAATGATGTAATAAAAAACAATGTATAAATAACTTGATGCAAATGCATAAACTGTACTATACAATAACACATTCCCTCAAATTACTCATTCACATCAACAGGGGCGTGGTTGAGGGCATCAAACAATAAGGATTTAGCCAAGGGACAGAGAGAGGGAGAAACTGTAATTAAAAAGGAAATGGGTATTTCTCATATGCCCAAAAAAGACTCCATTACGTATAGTTGCAGATATATATAAGGAATTTAAGTACAGCTACAGGGTAACTAAACTCACAGAGTTAAAAACAAACTACTGTTTGATTACTGTACAGTAACAAGAGATAGTCAGTAATAATCAGGCCCCTAATCAAGAGGGCAGGAGGCCCACCAGTGACAACTGATAGCATATGGTGGACCACCACGCCCCTGGCATACTAGTAGACAGTAACTCTTGTATATTACAAAAAACATCAATACTATAGTAATAGATGTCAATGATAGTGGATCTGCACACACACAACAAAACATGTCACATCACATCACATCCACCAATACACAAATGTGTCTAAAACAGATCACAAGAAATTTCCCACAACAGAATTCGTTCAACTTTGGACCCCAATCTCTCACTCTATTCCTAGAAGAAGCAGAAGACACTCACTCTCTTGAACTCCTCAGTCTCCTCCACATGTCCCAGTACATGCTTGGTGAGGGCGTGCAAGATGTCCAGGCAGTGGATTTTGTCCCCTTTGGCTATAGGCAGGTCAAAGGACACAAGGGCAACAGTGTTCGGCTTAGGGATGCCAAAGGGAGCATCAAGGCTGGAGATGAAGTCGGAGAGTTGTGAGAAATTGATGAACTGTGTAGCATGTGGGTCATACCTGTTGATAAGAGATGAAAATATTAGAGGGACTACTTTCTGTACTCACCAATAGTGTGTGTATTCATAAAAGGACCACTGTCTTTGTATGAAATGTATTCACCAGGACTAATGACTTATCAATGCCTCCAAATAGAATTAAGAAGCCAAATACAATCCCATCCACTCACTTGGACCATCTAACATAAAACATCTCCAAGTCATCTTCCACGATGCCAATCTCCTCCTCCTTATGTGCTTGGTTAAAGTTCTCCAAAATAACAGCAATGTACATGTTAATCACAATCATAAAGTTGATGATGATGAACGACACAAAGAAGACAATGGCGATCACAGGGTGGCCACAGTTGCCATTGGGCTGGTTCATGTAAGTGACGTCGCAGTCTGGAGGTCGAGCCATGAGAGGGTCCAGGACGTCATTCCAGCCAGCAGAAGTGATCAGTCTGGAAGAAGAAGAAAAATGAGGGAATAAAGAAAAAGAAAAAGAAAGAAAACAAAACAAAACAAAAGAAAGAAAAGAAAAGAAAAGAAAGAAAAAAAAAAAAAATTCACTTTCCTCTCTTGCTGTCTGAACCAAGGGAAGGCGAGAGTAAGTTATCCTTTGCATTTCTTCATAAAATTTGAAAAAGAAAATAGAGGATTTTACAATAAATGGTGGGTTATTGATGTTTATGGTCTTCATCAGAAATATGTTGATAATGAAGACTGTAGAATGAAAATGCATATAACTTCTCGAGCTGTGAAGTTGTTCGTACTCTTTCAACAACTGCCACAACTGTCAACTGAATTCTTTTGTGATGAAAGCATTATCATGAATATCATCTCATTTTAATATCATCACCATCATCATTATAATATTCATAATTATTATCATTGTTATTATCATCATTTTCATTACTATTATAATTACCATTATCATTGTTATTATCATCATTTTCATTACTATTATCATTAACATTGTCATTATCATTATCTTATCATCACTGTTATTATTATCATTATCATTGTCATTATCATTATCTTATCACTGTTATCATTATCATTAACATTGTCATTATCATTATCTATCATCACTGTATCATATCATTTAACATTGTCATTATCATTATCTTATCATCACTGTTATTATTATCATTAACATTGTCATTATCATTATCTTATCATCACTGTTATTATTATCATTATCATTGTCATTATCATTATCTTATCACTGTTATTATTATCATTATCATTGTCATTATCATTATCTTATCACTGTTATTATTATCATTATCATTGTCATTATCATTATCTTATTATCCCTGTTATTATTATCATTAACATTGTCATTATCATTATCTTATCATCACTGTTATTATTATCATTATCATTAACATTGTCATTATCATTATCTTATCATCACTGTTATCATTATCATTAACATTGTCATTATCATTATCTTATCATCACTGTTATTATTATCATTAACATTGTCATTATCATTATCTTATCATCACTGTTATTATTATCATTATCATTAACATTGTCATTATCATTATCTTATCATCACTGTTATTATTATCATTAACATTGTCATTATCATTCATAATTATTATCATTGTTATTACCATCAATTTCATTATTATTATAATTATCATTATCATTGTTATTATCATCATTTTCATTACTATTATCATTATCATTGTCATTATCATTATCTTATTATCCCTGTTATTATTATCATTAACATTGTCATTATCATTATCTTATCATCACTGTTATTATTATCATTATCATTGTCATTATCATTATCTTATCACTGTTATTATTATCATTATCATTATTAAAAACCCAATGCTTATGCCCATCCCATACACTGAGCCCAAATATGAGCTTGGCTTACCTGAAGAGAAGCATCATACTGCTGCCAAAAGTCTCAAAGTTGACCAGATCATCTAAAGCACCCTTCCGCTGCACGTGACCAAACACCGCCATTCCGATGATTGCGTAGATGAAGGTGATGAGAAACAGCAATGCACCGATATTGAACAGTGCCGGCAGTGACACTATTAGGGCAAACAGCAACTTCCTTATCCCCTTTGCAGCCTGAAAATATTGAGCCGGTGTAACTGCGTATTGTGCCTAAGTGGTACAATAAACAAATAAATAAATGAATAAAGGTACAAAAAAAAAAAAAAAAGGGAAAAAGAGGGGGGGGGGGAGAATATTTTCTTGATTATGGAGGGGTTTGATGATGGCCACAGACAAGACCAAGTTCTATGGATAATACTGTATTTTTCAGAAAGATGAAAAAAATAATCTATTACTCCTTCATGGTAACTGTACAGAAGGGGATGGCTGAAAAAAAAAACTACCAAATTCTAGTATTTACATATCAGAATTCTTTCCAAGGACTACCTGCTAAAAATTTGATACGGTAAAGCAAAGTAAGCTAACATTCCTGTTATATACATTGCCTACATTGATTACATATTCAATAGTCATCTGGAAAGATCTTTTTACAAAAAGAATGAGATAAAAAACAAAAAAAACTTGTAGATACTAACAGGTAACTTTCCAAATAACTAAATACAGGTAATTGATAATCTGACCTACCAACTAGTCTAATGGACATCCCCTTTCAAAAGAAAAACATGGACTTATCCTAAAAAACTCTGCACAATGTATTATCAATAATAAAACATTAATGATGACACTAAATACAACTAGATTGGAGACAGGGTGTAAAACAGAACTTACTGTGTCTGGATGAGAGTTGAGTGTAGAATATAAGGTCATCAGTTCATATAAGTATACACAAATAAAACTCACTCTGTTGATTTATAAGCAATACCTAAACATGCATATGCCATCTGTGGTTTGTACTATCTGACAAATTAGTACCAGGATACAAATGAAAGTAAATTTGTTCTGATTTTTTTTCTGTTTTAACAAGCACACAACGGCATAATACCAACATACTTATAAACCAACTAATGAGGAGTTATTTTTTGTGTATTGGAGTTAGAGTGCTAAATTTCACACACAGCAAGAGGAGCTAGACCACAAAGCAAAGCCCCGAGGAGCCGAGGAACACAAACAATGCCGGTCAACGCCTGGATTGAGATCACGAGGCACATGCCCCAGAAATCAAGGCAGGCGTGCACACCGGCATTATTCAGGGCCCCACACCTAGAAGCCTCGCTCTGTGTTCCACCTGCGTGCCGACATTGAAATGAAGCCCGGTGTTTTTAGTAGTAGTGAGGTGTCGTAAAAAAGAGAACACAAAAAGCAATTCTAGGATGTGTCTGTCTTGGAAGTCACAAGTGCGCTTCACTACTACATCAACATCTCGCTTGCATACGACTTCCAGTTATCAAAAATACAAACACTATTGAGAGTGTCATCATCAGAGTATAGAGATCAAACCAAAGCAAGGCAAGTTCAATTACAAGACAAAACATTACCATTTAGATCTCTCATTCTTATTACTATGTATATCTATTTATGTAGTCAAAATCTGTCTCTTGTTTAGGGTTTCACTATCCAAGATAAAAATAATCTTACTATATTACGCATTTATTTAGTCATTGAGAATGGAATCAATTTTCTCTCTACTTTTAGACGTCTATTTATATTCTTCATGCACAGTCTTACTGATGAGTTATTCAATAAAACTTTACTGATTTACTGTTTGTGCTTCAACTGTATACAGACTGAACTAATCCAGAGATAGAGAGGTCAGCCTAAATATCTCTGGATCATGCCTAATACTTTGTCTCAGCCCATTAGGATGTGTGTTTGATAGTTGAAGTAGACATTGTGTAACTTCCATTTTGTGTGATGGTTTGGATGGTAGGAGATTTTGAAGAGTAACAACTGATTACAGCACCAAAACTTGTGTGGTACCAAAAATACCATAAAAATGAAAAGAAAAATCAAAACAAAATAAATGATTTTTTTTTTTTAATTACAATAATAATGATTATTAGTATTTACTATTCTTTAAAAAACACCAACACGAACTCCAAATTTTTTTTTTGGAAAAAAAAAAGAAAAAAAAAAAAGTTAAAAAAAAAAAAGGAAATCATCACAACACATTCCACCTGGGCGTGCGCTCTGAGGTTGTTAAGTCCAAGACAATATTACAGTATAAGAAAACATGGGAGTTGCTTGCAAAGTGGAAGGTGCAATATTGCAAGTGGTTGTGGACGTTATGGACGTTAATTCGTAAAGGCTACCTGACCGAAGAAGGAGTTTCGGCCGTTCACCGTCGGCTGTTGGGAATAAGGAGGTTAAAGACGAGGGTGTTCCAGTACTGTACTTTTGACACTGTATTGCTGCTAACTCACACAAATGACCTTGGGAAACCATTCATAATAAGGGCCTAGCTTTTATTTATTCTTCACAACAGTAACAAATAAATAACTATGGGGATACTCGGTCTCATATCCCCATAGCTATTCAGAACGTACTTTGAACTCTGAATTCGATAATATTATGAATGGTTTTGACATAATGCACATCATATACGTGATCAGCTACCTTTTAGGACATCTGTCCATGATCTTGGATTTTTATCAGGCCATATAAAGAGTTTTTGTAGTAGTTCAGTTTAATGATGAAATCCATAGAATGTTGAACGTGCTTTAATAATGAAATAAAGGAAATGAACATCTGAAGTATCAATATTTTTCTCAGCCAGTTTAAGCTAATGAAAAATGTGAAATATTCAGATAATCTTATGCATTATTTTAAACTTATCATTAATCTTGCTGGTAAAAAAATTTCAACTTCAGAATCAAAAATTATTTCTATAACTCAGGACTTGATGATTAAACTTATGAGAAAAAATATTTCTATAAAACAGAAATAATTATTAAAACTCTTATCATGTAGAATTAATATCAACTGACATTTCTCTGTACAAATACAGAACAAAGACAAACAAACAAACAGTCTGAATATAGGGCGTCAGAACAGAACTCATTCTGAAACTTAATGTATGTTTAAAATCAGCCAGTAAAATTGACAATTGAAACATTTTATTTCCACAAAAACAAGAAAAAGAAAGAAAGAAAAAAAGAGAAAGAGAGAAAAAAAAGAAGGGAAGACAACCAAAGATATTTGAATAAATGGAAACAGAAATTGTCTCCAGATCAGAAGTTACTGAGAACGTCTCACTATAAAAACTCCTTTGCCTGAGACACCAATATTGCTACATCCAGTGAACCACTTGACCACTACTGAGCTACATTCAAGGACTACAATACACTTATCTGGACTTATAATATAAACTTTATGAATACTTTGCTGCAAGATCCGTGATAACATTTTGTCAGTACACAAGGAAATTTAATTCATCAAATAGCTAAGACTCAAACTGTAAGATAGGATAGACACAGGAAGAAGGAAATACTACATACTATACTGAAAGAGACTCAATGAAAAAAGACTAAAAAAATAAAAGTAGATGTTGTGATTAGAAGACAGAGAAAAAAAGGAATTAACTTTATATATATCTTAAAAAATAACATCTGATATTGAAACTGGTCTAAATTGTCTTGAACAGATCACTGATCTTACAATAAATGCTGACTATTTATGATACAAAACTTATAGGTTACAATATGCAAGACAGAGGTACCATATGAAAACCCCTGGCAATATACTCCTGTTTCAAATATATAGTATCACACATACCTATAGACTAAACGAAATCAAAGGGAAAAGTTTCTCCTACGTTGAGATATTTGAAGGAGACTAATAACATAAAAAAATATATATATTTTTGCGCTTATCATTATCAAATATGAGGCTTCTAATCACTGTTTCAACAAATGCAAAACTAAGAATACAGTCAAACAAAACTGATTTTTTTTGCACTTCGTGTGTTTTGTTTTATACTGTCAGTTATAAAAAATCTTAAAAAAACAACAACCTATGTTTGGATATTTTCTGTGATGACTAACAAGTAATTCTGAAATTAGAATATTATAAATGTTAATAAAAATGTATACTGTATGATATGTATGTGTGCACTAATTTTCAGGAATGGTATGGTAAGACAAAAGATATGGAACATATCTGACATATGGTAAAAATTGGATCACTTATATGATCAACATAACTGTAAATCTGTGTGTGTGTGTGTGTGTGTGTGTGTGTGTGTGTGTGTGTGTGTGTGTGTGTGTGTGTGAGTGTGTGTGTGTGTGCATGGTATGTGTGCATGGTATGTATGCATGGTGTGTGTATGTGTGTGTGTGCATGGTGTGTGTATTGTGTGTGTGTATGGTGTATGTGTGTGTGCGCATGGTATGTGTGTGTGTGTGTACATGGTGTGTGTGTGTGTGTACATGGTGTGTGTGTGTGTGCATGGTGTGTGTCTGCATAAGTGTATGTATGCATGTCCGTGTCTCATTCTCTACAGTATACATTACTTATAATTAATTTGTAAATGTCTACAGTTTCAGATAGTGGCTACGATAGTAACACAGACCTTTGAGAAACTAATTTCTAGCTAAAGCCTCATCACCCCCCAAAGAAAAACAAAAAACAAAAAAACAAAACAAAAAAGATAATGATAAAAACAATAAATAATAAATTTGTACACTAAACCTTGAATTTCACAGATAATTTAGCAGTATTATAATTGCAAGCCCCTTAACACATAACCCTCTCACTACACACAAGCACTGCACATCACAACACCTATCGAAATGCTGCAATGCGTAATCATTACCCACAACAACAAACTTGCAAGGATGACGCCCCAGCATCACTCAGCAAAAAAAGGGGCAAACATCAAAACATCAAATCTGTACTTGGGAGGGATTGCCATCCAGCACAACAATCTTGCACAGGGTCTAATATATATATATATATCTTTAAGACAATCCTTCTGCAACATAATCACGCAAGAGGGTAGAAGTGAAGACGAGGAGGGGGACGTTGGGGGATGGGGGGGGGGATA